GTCCTCCCGATTCTAGGGTCGATGCTCTATCCACTGAGCCACCCAGCTGCCCCTTTTGTCTTTTTTAAAAGCAGCTTTAGTGTCCTCTTTTCAGTTCAGTCTTGCCACTGGTACCTTTTTCCATCCTGTGCACTGAGGCTTCTTCTTCTTCTTCTTCTTCTTCTTCTTCTTCGGTGAGGCAATCAGGGTTAAAGTGACTTGCCCAGGGCCACACAGCTAGGAAGTGTCAAGTGTCTGGTCTGAGGTTGGATTTGAACTCAGGTCCTCCTGACTCCAGGGCCGGTGCTCTAGCCACTGTGCCACCAGTGGCCCCTGCACTGATGCTTCAGTGTAGATCTCTGGTCATTTGCTTTGCAGTTCTTTACTGATTTGGAGGGTTTCTTTACTTTGTTACTTATTTTGTTTCCTTGGCTGGGAGTTGAGGGGAGGTTATGTGCTTTCTGTGGTGGAGGTGGTAGCAAGCCAGAGGATGGAGAAGGGAGGGGAGTTTTCTAGAGAGTGGCAAGCGGAGGGACTCATAGTAGGGGAATCCCATCCAGGTGAGATGCCCCAGCTTCTCCATTGTGGCTCCATCTTCTGTTGCTGGCGGAGAGAGTGGGCTACTAATTAGTGTGGAGCCCCACTAGCCTTTGTCACCTAGCTGAAGGCTGATTTTGGAGGAACACTTGCCACTTAGGAGGATGTAATGATCACAGGTTACAGTGTCATATTTAGGGTATCCCCAGTTCTGTGATCCTTCTAATTCTACAGGGAAAGTAATACTTTCTTTCCCAGAGGATTCCCCAACTCTCTAAGGGCTCTGAGGCCATTTCAATTAGTTTTTAGTTTGGTCCGTGGAAACAAAGAACCTCCTTCTGTACCCCCATGGGCTACAGAAACATGAGAAAGGGAGGAAAAAGATGGGGTTGATAAAGACATTTGGGAGTCCTTCACAGTGGAATGATAACAGAAGCCATGAGAACAGATGAGACCCCTCCAATAGAAACAGTGTACAGAGAGAAGAGCAGAAGAGGAAAGATTGGGGGAGCACGGCTCCTTAGGGGATAGGAAGAGGAAGAAGGCACAGAAAAGGAGATGGGAGGAATAATCAGAAAGAAGGGGAGCCAGTCAGTTGTGGCATCATGGACAGAGGAAAGGAGCATTTCAAGGGGGTAGAGACCATGACGGAAAAAGCATTTATTAGGTGCTTATTATGTGCCAAGTACTGGGATTATAACCAGAAAAGCAAGCGGGTCATTGTTCTTCCAGAATGAAGATGGAGGAAAGTCCATTGAATTGGGTCCTTAGGAAGTCAATAGTGACTTTAAGTAAAGAGGTGAGAGCAGGATATTAAGGGTGAGGCCCCAGTGGGAGCCTCAGATCCTAGATTTAGAAGCAAGTGACCTCAGGGGTCATCTAGTCCATCCCCCTCACTTGGCAGAGAAGTGGGCATGGGAGGCTTTGGGAGATTTAAGTGATTTGCTCAAGGTCAGACAAGTCGTATCAGAGGCAAGATTTGAATCTAGGTCCTCTGGTTTTAGATCTAGCAATCTTTCTACTACTGATGGAGTACAAGGGGTCAGCTCCCGTCTGGTGCAGCTACCTGTCAGGAGTGCACTAGTTTTGGAAGAGGCCATCCTAGCTCTGACTCTCCCAGTCACATCAAGGTGCCTTTCTGTGGTTCTTCAAGCCTCCTGTGACAGTCAGCTCCATATTTCTTTCAGCCCTTAAGCATGGATATATTTCTCCATTCTGGCTGTTTGCCTGGCTTGTCTAGACTAGTTTGTGTTGCACAGGAAGACAGTGGATCTCCTTTTGTCTAGCTTCTCTACTGCTGTGTAAGTGGAGCTCCAGACACCCTATGGGTCCTTGGTAAATATTAGTTCAGGAGTCCAGGTGACTGCACCCCATTAACACAGTTGACCGGAGGGACAGGATCAAGGTGCTGCAACATGTTTCAATTTGTTCTTTAATCAGTGTTAATGCAGTTACAACCTTTGCTCTCCCGGCTATCAGCCACACAGCAGGCACTGAAATGTTGACTGACTATGCCCTGAGAACATACTAGGTATTTACTCTGTGGCATATAAAGTCTCTGGTGAGTGAGTTAGGTAACTGAAACTACTCAGCCTCTTCTGGGGCCCTTGCTGCCATCTGGAGTGTGTGCCAGCATGCCTTATGTGGTGAGCGGGCTCTTCAGCCAGATCTTTATGTTACCAAGGCCTTACTGGTTTTTTTAAACAATATTTGGCCCCAGCCCCATGCTCAGGTTTTTTACTTGGCTTCTAAATTCTCACTGTTTTGCTTGTGTTTGTAATTTGCAGCTCTAGGTTGAAATACAAATACACCTAGGAAATTCCTTAACTAGTTTTCCGAGGCATTAGGGTACAGGCTTGGGCATTAAGGAGATCAGGGTTCAAGTGTGGCCTCTGACACATAGTAGCTGCCTGAGCTTGGGTTATTCACTTGACCCCTCAATAACCTTATGCAATTCTCCAAAACCTTCAAAATGAGTAGCAGATCTAGGTCAGTTCTCATTCAGGGAACTCCCTCCATGGATGATGTCACGGATTTGGACCAAAACAAAAACAAACCCCCACACTTTTAAGGGGTGAAGCAGGGATGGGAGCCTCAGATCACAGACCTTGAGGGGTCTCTAGTTCCTCCCCCTCATTTGCAGTGAAGGGAGCAGAGGCTTAGGGGGATTTAAGTGACTTGCTGAAGGTCAGACTAGTATCAGAGGCAAGATCTGAACTCAGGTCCTCTACTTTTAGATCCAGCCAGATAGGGCCATTCCACTTTTTAAAAACTGGAGTCCAACATTTCTTTTGGTGGAAGTACTCTGACTTCTGAAATGCAGACTTTGTTAACTGTGTCCTATTACTCTACCACACACTGCCTTACTCTGAATAGCTGGCCTAGGGTCTCTAAGCACGTTCAGCTCAAGTAGAACCCACCCCGTGCCCTTGCCTTATACCTTGGAGGACCTTCCCTTTGGATGGATATCAGCTGTATCTGTTTATTCCATTTTCTTTACATCCTATTTGTTAACCTTTTAGTGAAAGCCAGATGAAAATGATGACCTCTTGACACATAGCACTTCATAGACATCTCATTTGAGCCTTACACCCTCCCTTCCTGTTCTCCTACCTCTTATCCCCCTCTTCGGGTGCGGAAACTGAGACCCGGAGAGGTTAAGTGACTTGTTACTCATCCAGCTAATATTTGTGGTAGGATTTGAACTGTTAACTTCCACTAGGCCCAATGGAGTGAAATAAAACATGCATTTATAAAAGGCTGCAGTGGGAACTTTGTGCACACCTTGCCTCAGCTGAGGTGGAATGGGTTGAAAGTTTGCAGTGAGGGTGAGGGCCCCAATGTGGAGGGGGAAAGAGGGGTGAAAAGCACAGGTCCTCTCCATGAAGAATTTAGATCAGAAGGCGGCAGGAAAGGGCACGAACTTAGATAAGTATTCATTCAGCAATCATGAATCAACTGCCTTCTACGTACCAGGTACCGGGCTAATTGGGGAGATATAAAGGCAAAGACAAAATGTATACAGAGAAGTAGGTTAAAAAGGACCCCTGCATATTAAAGTAAATACAAAGTGATTTGTATGAAGGGAAGGCATAGCAAACTCTGTGTGTGTGTAATTGGGCTAGGCCTCCTGGAGGAGAAGGGAAAGGTGGGCAATGGAATTGTCCAGCCACAATGCTCTCTGGGAGAGTTTGAGGAGGAAAGGGGGAGTTGGAGCTGGGTTGAGCAGGAGGGGTTTCCTCCTTACAGGGCCAAGTGGTCCAGTAGTGAAGCCAGTTAATGTGGCTTTAATTGAGGGGGATTTCCTGTAGCCAGGTGAACAGGAATGAGTAGAGCTGGACATGGATTTGGGGTTCTGTATTTCTACCACGGTCTGCTAAAATCTAACAGCGGATGGCTAACAGTGGCTTTCTGGTTGGGTTGGATATGGGTAGCCAAAGAAAGGTTAAGGTGGGAGGTAGGAGAAAAAAGGCCAACCCCCAACCAGTTAGTAAAAGAGGGATCTGGGAACCAGAACCCTTTTACTGGTGGGTAATGAAAACAATACTGGGAAACCGGACCTGGGCTGGGAAAGCAGAGGAAGAAATAAGTGGTTAGCTATAGTGTCTGGACCCAGCACCGCCCCCACCCCATCAACAAACTTCTTAAAAAAAAAAAAAAAGATAAAAGCTAAAGCAGGCTCTTCTGTTTTTTTCAAGGAGAAACCTGGAAGTAGCAATAAAATGGTGAAAGCTAAATTATAGGAAGGTGGCCCCAAGAAAGGACCACAAAGGCAAAGAAAGCAAGCCTCTTGGCTCAGGAGCAGCAGGGGAGAGGACAAAGAAAGAGGTAATAAAAGAGGGAGCCAGCCAAGGAGAGGGCAGGGAGGCTGACCGGCGAGCCCTTGATGGGACAAATGGGGGGAAAGACAGAGTTGACGGCCCTGGTAAAGTTAGCGCAGGGCTGGCAGCCACCGCCGTGGCATCCTAGACCGATGCTGGGGTTGGGGGGTGGGGTAGGGGCACCGTCCTCCACCCTGGAGGCTGAGAGAGACAAAGGGCGTGCTCGTCGCGGCCGCCGCCCCTGCGGCTGACAGATAGGGTAGCGGGGTTTCAAGGTCCTGTCCCCCCAGCCCTGTGTGTGCTGCTGCTGCTGGTGGTGGTCGTGGCTCTGGCCCGGGCAGTGCCCGAACCTGCAGGAAGGAGCCCCGCACGGCCCCCCCCACCTCTGCCCCTGCCAGGGGCCCGCCGCGGGTGGCACTCCCCAGTTTGCGCAGCGGCCATCCCGGGGCGGCCAGGCCTCATAGGCCATGTGAGTTCGGGTCCCCAGGCGCACGAACTCCGCCAGTCGGCCCGGGGCGGGTTCTTCGGCGGGACAGCACGCTGCCCCTCCCAGCCCCCGCCCTCCCGCGCAAGCGCCGCCGGGGCCGCCCCCGCCGCCATGTTTCCAGCTCCGCCCTCTCCCTCCCCGGCCCGCCCCCTCTTCGCCTCTTCCCCCCGCTCCGGAGGTCAGGCGGAGGCGCAGCGGCAGCGGCGGCGGCGGCGGCGGCTCCCGGGCCAGGGGGGTGCTAAGGACGCGGACTTTGCCGAAGAACTGGAGCGCCCGCCGGTCCGGCTCGGGACCGAGCACCCACCGGCGGGGCTAGGGGACGGCACGGCAGGGCAGGGCAGGGCAGGGCACGGGGAAGCGGAACGACCGCCGCTCGGCCGGCCGGGTACACGCGGACCCCAAAACGCTGGGAAGCGACCGGAGCTGCCAGCCCGAGGGAGAGAAGAGCAGGGGGAGGAGGCAGGGCTAGGAAGGAGAGCGCGAGCCTGCCGGCCCCCCTCCTCTACCCCTGAAGTGCGGGTGCGGGCTCCCTCTTCCTGACACCCCCTTAGCGGTGCTCCCAGAGGAGAAGCGGCCCGACGGCCGCACTCCGTGACCGCGGTGAGTGATCCTCGGAGGAGCAGGGGGCCTGGAACCGACGAGCTGGAGTCGGAGGGGGGATACCCGAGAACTGCCAGCTGGAGGGGGGAAGTCCAGAGCCCAACGCGCTGGAAGGGGGACCCACCGGCCAGATCAGGGACCCTGGAGCCCCTCCCCAGCTCCCAGCTAGCCAGCACGAGGACCCTCTGCACAGCTGCAGGTCCAGAGGCATGGAGCTTCCCCTCCCCCTCCCTTCCCCTCCCCAGCCTCCTCTCACCCTCCCAATCTGGATCCGCGTTTTTTCCCGCCCCCTACCCCCAGCCTCGGCACCCTTCGTCGGACCGCTTAGCAGTAGTTAGAGGTGTCGGTAGGTCTCCTCCCCCAGCCTCATTCTCCCTATCCCCCCCCCTTCTCCTTAGAGCGCTTCCGACCCCCGAGCGCGGCGTTCAGTTTGCTGAGGGCTCTGCTCACCCTCTTCCACCTTGGGAGTCTGTGGCCGGCCTGGGTGCTCGCGCCCTTCCTTCCGCTTCCCTCATCCTGCAGCTTTCCCTCTCGGCGCTTCTCTGTTCGCTTCGGGTTCGGTTCGCTTCACTTTGGGGGAGATTTGTTTTCCCTGAGGCGGGTATCTGAGCATCTGGGGGGGGGCGCGATGGAATGGTTCTTTAATAGATATCATCTAAGGTACTTACAGTTTGTCTTTTGGCGACGCCTTTGTGGTAGGAATGGAACTTCCCTCGAAGTAATCGGGGCACCTGGCACTCCTTCGCATGCTTTCTCCCCAAAATGCGGAGCGCCCGGGGAGTAGGGAGGCGGGGCAGGGCGGGCTGCTCGGGAGCGTCGGCAGGGGAATGACTCCTTTCCTTCTCCAGAGATTGACCGGGGCTGGGCCGGAGGGCTGGGGGGCGCGAGGTGGGTATTGGGGGTCGGCGGTTTCGCGCCCCCAAAGAGCTTTTACTGGTTTGGAATAAAAAAGCAAGTAAGCAATGAGGATTGTCTGATTAAAGTGCGTGTTGGAAGCGTTTAATTGTGGGAAGCTGAAGGGCGCCTTTCCTTGGCCAGGCACCTGTCTAGGACAAGTTTTCTTTGCTGGGATTTTGGAGATCCGGACTTTGCAAACTGTCGGACTCGAAAGATCCCTTGGGAGGGGAATGGGGGTCATCAGTTGCTTTCTGTAGATTTTACCGGGTCCTGTTCAGTCTTTGGATCATTTCAGCCTTTGCATGAGCGGTTAGTTAGAGTGTATTACACCCTTCCCCCCAGTCCCGGTCCGTTGCTCGACTTCCCCCTTCCCAGATTCCTCGAGCTCCACCGTTGCACCTCCTCTCCTTGACTCCCCTACTGCTGGGACTCGCAGCCCCAGTGTTCCGTCCTCCCCCCACCCCGCCCCGGACCTATAGATACAGTGTTCAGTTGGACCATTGGTTTGGGATCCCGCGGGCTCAGGGCTCGATTCGACCATTGGGCTTCCCTGGGACCCGGTAGTATTGCGTCGCCCTCCTCCCCCCGCCCCCTACCCCTTCCCTTTCTCTAAAGCTCTTGCCGTTCGTTGTCTTGGAGGTGGAAGGTAGAGGAGAATGGGGGCTTCTAGCAGTCACGTGTGGGCCTGCGGTTTAAAACAAAAACATTGGCTAATGATCCCATTTTTTACAATAAGAAAAAAATTTCGAACTTTGATCTGACAATTATATGTAACATCTAATCAGTATCATATTTAAATGTTAGTCCTCCCCTCTCCGTCCCCCCCCCAAAAAAAAAAGCCCATTTCACTCCAACCCCCGCACATTCAGCCGGTTTGTAATGACCTGGGCACCGCCACGGCCGCAGTTTCCACTAATTGGCAGCTTTCGCAAAAGAGAAACCAAACTGTGACTGAACGTAATAGCTGAATGTCACTGTCCTGGAAGCGGCCCTTTCTTTGGCTGGGGAACAATGGGGCAGTTTACCCTCGAGCAGCTCAGGGTGTATTTTTCTAATAGATAAATACAAGCCTTGGTTTCCCAAGGTTGTTAATCTGCCATTTTTATGGACACACTTTGCAAAGTGTGGTGTGAGAATATGCAGAGTATAAAATTGTGAAGAATGTCGTTTATAGGAGACCAGTAGAGAGTCTATTGCTTACCAAGAGAGTTTGATTACACAGAGGTGCAAATAATTTGTAGTTTTCTATTAATTCTATGTGGGAAACTAATGATTTTATTGTAGTATGAAGGATGGGGCGCTGGAGGGAATAAGGAGGCTAATCACAGAAATAGGGCCGCCTTTCCCAGACTCTAATTTCCCTGGCAACTCTTTCTCCCAAGTCGTTAGAAGGAAAATGAGGAGTATTTATTGAAAGTGACCGTATAGTTCAAAGAAACTCAGTAAAAACTATTTTTGGAATTATTTTGACCTGCATGAAATTTGAAATAAAGATTTCGCCCATCCCTTACTATGGTAATGGAAGGTCTTATGTTTTCCACTAAGACGTGTGTCTATAACTTATTTGAGTTCCTTTGTCCTGGATTTCTTCTGTGTGGATAAACAGCATCATGCCTTAAATCCCATTTTGAACAGTATATTATCCAATATTGGGAAAAGAAGCCACTTAGAGGGTGAGTTTGGCCATGGTAACCCCTCTTCTTGGCCAGAGGCCAGAACTTGATGCATTTAATACCACCTGAAACAAATGGGACTTTTTCTGGTTCACAGGATATACACATATCCATTATATATATACACACAGATACATATATACATACATACATACCAGGAGGCATTCTCCATTTTGTATTTGTGAATTTTATGGTTTAGGCAGATTTCACAATATAATTAGAAGGATTTTAATTATAATTTAGTTTTCCTAGAATTAAAATGTAAACTTATAGGTTGATCTGAAGCCACAAGAATTGAGATTATGGTAAATTTGTTTGATTTTTGTTGGTAAGGTCATAGAATTTAGAAAAAAACGGGCCATAGAAATCAGTTGTGCTTAGCATGGGGGTGGGACCTTTTTTTTTTTTGAATATTTTGACAATTGAATTTCACTGTAATTAGTTTCCTTTGTGATTCCATGTACTTTATTTTATTCATTAAAACGTCTGATTCTGAGAAGAGCTCCCTCACACGAAACTGTCTCACCCTAAGAGAAAAGGTCTCTCACCCTAAGAGAAAAGGTCTCTCACCCTGAGCTTGGTCTAGTCTGAATGGAGCTTCCTCATTTGACATTTGATGCGTCCTGAAGGTGCATCCCGCCCTCCTACCTCCCAGGAAGAGCATGCTCACCTGAGCTTAGACAGCTAAGTCCCCACTAAGGTGCAGAGGCCAGATTGGAGTTCAGGCCTTCAGGCTTATCCAATTGAACTGCCTCTCCATTTGGATGATTGCTAAAAAGAAATGCTCCAACATTTTTTGTCATTGTTGTTCTTAAATCTTTTGGCCAAACCCAAAGTTTCCTTACCCTTTGAGTTAATCTGACGTTTGCCCAAGGTCAAACTTCCTGATCTGAGGTCTGGACACAGAAGCTAAAAGAGATTTTAAAAACAGGGAAAAATTTCTATTTTAGAGAAAACCAATCTTAAAACGTAACAATTTCCCAAATGAATAAAGTTCTTAGCAGTTAGGAGGTTTTATAAAATAAACTACTTTTTAAAAAATCAAATTGACTATTCATTTGAACTTTTTTGAGGTTTATAATAATGTGTGATGTTTTTCTGCATTTTTGAAATGTTTATTAGCTTGAAACTTCAAGGTTTATCTTAAATTTATTTTCCCAAAACAGTGCTTTATTGCAGAATTCTGAGTGTTTTTCCTTATGCATGGAGGCATGACTTGGACTTTAGAAATTTCCTTAGGGGCCTTAAAAAATACTGTAATTTGGCTGATTTTATTTGGGGAAGGGGGAAGTGTTGGTATTTTAGTTTTGTTGGTGGGAGGAGCTCCTGGTGTGGAAGCTGCTTCTTCTGATCAAGTTCTACAACTCACTTTTGTTCTCAGAGAGCCTTCTGGGGCCCTGAACAGCAAGTATGTGTAAGAGGCAGAACTTGAATCCAGTTCTTCCTGATGCCAACGGCTTTGGCACCATGCCACCCGGTTTCCTCTTACTGTTAATTGCCTGAGACTCTCTTTCCCTGGTAAAAGCTGAGGTGGCATTCTGTTCGTTGGTTAAATGATTAGAGCTGCACCCGGACCCTCATGGCTTTTGCCTTTTCTACAAATCACATTCGGATTGTGGGTCGATATTATGGGAAACTTGACGACGTTTAAAGAAGGGGGAAACAATCTTTTTATTTATTCAGATCTGAGAAGACTGAAGCTGCATCTTCTAGAGAAGGGAATTCTCTGGACACCACATCATCAGCCCCAGGGCAGCTTGGGGTGTTGGGAAGAGTCAGAGATTCCATTTCCCTAACCTTTCTTCCAGGTGCCCTGTGAGACCCTCTGGATTTACAGGCAAAAGTGAACCATCCCATTTTCTCAAGGAATTGTTCTGGGGGCAGAGATTGAAGTATACAGAGAAGTCAATGAACTGTGATGGTTTGGGGGAGGGGAACGTTAAAAACCGGCCTTTGTATAGGAGGCGAGATCTGGATTGATCCTTGAGGGGAACCCAAGATCCCAAGAAGCAAAAGAGAAGAGGGAGAAATAGCCTGAAGGCCAACATATCAATATCAATATATCAGGCTAGCATATAATCAAATAGAAATTTCCAACCTTGAGGGCAGAGAAATTTTCATCTTTTTAAAAAATTTTATTAATTTATTTTGATGTATCAGTAATCATTTCCATATGCTTTTGAGTTTAAAATTTTTCTCCCCCTTCCTCCCTACCACCCTCCCCAAGACGGCGCACAGTCTGATAAAGGCTATACATTTACATTCCTATTAAATATATTTTCATTAGTGGTGTTGTAAGTAAAAATTAAAACCAATAGGAGGAACCATCAGAAAGAGGAAACAAAAACTCAACAGAAGAGAAAAAAATAGCAATTCAACTTCCATAGTTCTTTCTTTGGATGTGGACAGCATTTTCTGTCACGAGGCCTA